ATAATCTTGAGTATTTAATCTTGCATTAGGAGGGTGTTTAATTTTCTCATAGGTCATCGCCGTTTATCATTGCAAGAACTTACACTTTTTTTATTTTTTATAAATCAAACACATTTTTAACAATCTTATGTGATTGCTTAAATTCTTTTTACTTATTGACATGAAATACGCACGCAATGCGCGTGTCCCAAACTAGTAAACCTATAAATGGAGGCAAGCATGAGAGTGCAATGTACAAAGTAGTTTAATTTTATTAGTATTTAACCCATATAGGCTTAAAGGTTGTTATCATTGTCCGTTAAATATCACATTCAACAAGAATCATAGTTCGGTATTATCCATGTATAATACCAAAATTGAGCAACTTTGTCTCCATGGAACATTTCCCCATTTAATTATTAATATATTAAAGAAGAATTAACTCGCCCACTCAATTACTTAAATTAAAAAATAGACACTGAATATATAATATATGTATCCTGTTAAAAAAGTTAACAATGAATTTGACGGTCTATTTATGTGAAGATCCTATATTAAATTGGAGCGCTTGTGATCCGCCTCTAACAACAATTGATAGAATATTTATATGATAATCTTGATGTATTGGTCAACATTTAATCTAATTTTTTATTATAGTTTTCCTATTTTATGCAGATGTATGCTTTTCTAAATATTTCATGAAGCAACAAATTAGTGTATGTTTAAAGTTGATAAAAAGATTTGTGTCGACTCTCCTTTAAATATAGCTGCGATTGAAGGACCACGATATGGGCCTGCATTTGCCGATTGTAATGGAGAAAATAAATGGATAGACAAAAATAAATAGTTTTGTTTTTATGGATAACTGTGTCAAAACCACATTGTAATGGCCCGTTGGGCGTTCCGTTAGTTCCAATGTAGATATATGTAATTTCAATGGGCAGGCCCCTGACCCAAAAATCAATGGCATTAATGCAATTTAGCTCGATTGTGAGCAAAAGTGGTCCTTAATTGGAAGTTGAATAGTTGAGCTGCATAGTAATACTATGGTCCTTTGCTTCCACCTTTTAGATGTTGATTGGGGAGAGGAATTTATCTAAATATCTTATCACATGTTCGACCGTGGACGTACCAATTTGTTTACCCTAAAATTTGAATAACAATTAAATTTATTTTGTGGTTTTAAGGATATGTGATTTCGTTCAATACCAATTGGCAAGCAAGAAAATAAATGAATGAATTAGAGAATAAAATAAATCAAACCAGTATGCTAGCCAGGTCTCGACCTCGATTCGGGATAGTCTCGAGGTGGAATAGTAAATGATGAAGCAACTTTGATAAACAGTAAGTGAAATAGCAGGAAAGTAACGAGTGTATATATTCTTAATTTCTTATCAGTGAACAATGATCCTTACAAATGAGTGGGATCCCTCTTTATATAATAGAGGAGTCCTAAATAAGGTGCATTTATAATTATAGTAGGAAACCATATTAACATCTTATTAACCGCCGTAGATTGACGCGTTTCGAGTTTTCCGCCGTGATCTCCGACCGGTTACGGATATCTCACCTTTTCGCTATTGCATTTCACTCGAATTCGGTTGTACTTAGTCTCGACTGCTGCTGGCCTCGGTCCCGACGGACACTTCGATCTTTGGACTCGATGCCTCATCTTCGAGCTCGGGCCTGATTCATTACGAGGTTATCCCCAACGCAACTCCCTTGTCTCGATCAAGTAGCAAAATCGGGTAGGCCCAATTTTGACCGTATACACAATTATTAATAAATACAATATCAACAATTACATATTGTACGGCCAGTATTGGGAACACCACATATAAGACCAAAACTAGAAAATAAACCTCTACTTTCAGATTGTTAAATATTTCAACTACTAAGGAATATTCTACCTGCCATTCATATACTCACAGCTGGGGTGTCTGATATATACAGACAAGAACTGAAGGTTTCATCAGGAGTTGATATTGGCTGTAGGGAAATGAAAAAGAATAAAAACTAACAAAAAAAAGGTAAAGCATTATGCTAGAAAGTAGAATTCACATGCAATGGCATGACTATGAGATTGGACGTACGTGTAGTGTACTTCCTAAGGAAATTTGAGAAAAAAATTAATTAACGGAAAATACAGTGAAGAAATTTGCAGCAGTACTCAACAATGGCATGATTGATGACATAAGAATTGTCGTATAAGGAATATTATTAGAGAAAATACTTGACCAACAACAGTTGTATCAATTTCACTTTATTTATTACGATTTTAAGTTGTAGGCATTTGGACATAAAAATGTTATACTTATGTGTATTTGAAAAAAATATTAATTGAAGTTAAGTTTGAAATGGTTCTTTCCTCCAACAATTTCAGGCAGACTTTCCTAGACTATTATTCAGCATGTTTAATCACTTTGTTCTCTCAAAATTTAATTCTAAAAATAAACCTTTAATTTCACGTGTAAACCCCAATACCATATTACACATTAACTTACCTTCCTTTCCCTTTTACTTGGTTGTCTTCATAAAAATAAAAAATAAAATAAAAAAAGAAAATACACACTTGCATTTCTTCTTTGCATTAGCCAAAAAAGGCCAGTAGTATTACATTCTATTGAGGCTGAAGAATGACTCAAAAATTAATGCTCACTAAATAAATTAAAAACTAATGTAAGTAATTAATTAATGTCAAGCATATCAGAAGTTCCCCTCATGTGCTTGTCTCCAATAATTGCATCAAAATTCAAAAGACTTCACAATCTTATCTTTAAGCCCCAATAATGAGAGCTCACTACATGCCACGTACAATAAAATACATAGCACTATTTTTTCTGAATACGTGTCGAAAAACAATTGCCTCTTCATTGTCTCTAATCCCAAGAATTCTTTGTTTATTGGTGTACACAAATTGACAAGCCTTATATTAGGTGAACTCCCCCTCGTCCATAAACCAGTATTTTATCAAAAGAATTATTATGCTCAACTTGATCCGTCTCAATATTCCCACTTATTTAACTAATTAATGGTGTATTTTACTGCCATTTTGTATTAATATTCCATTAACAAATCAAAAACATGACGATAGTACAGTACAATTAATTTAGTATGTTAAAGTAGAGGTCATTGTATATCTAAGCCTAAAAAGATAAAGGTACCAAACTCTAATTAATCAATCTCTCTCTCTCTCCAATTATCTTGTTTGCAAACGGCGTTAGCTTAGATTATATAATGTCAAAGCTCTGACAATATATATATATATATATATATATATATATATATATATATATATATATATACAAAAAGTTCTGAAAGTGACACGATTTCGAGAAACTTATTTTGTACTATCGAAAGTTTTATTATAAGACTTTTAAGCTTTACGTACCAAAAAGTATTTACTAGATAACTTAATAAAAATGATAACTACATTACTCTTCATTACAGATGGAAATTTACTGATAATATTTGAAAAGTTGAATTCACATTATCAAAATATAAAAACTTAATCCTTATAAAAGACGTGATATCATGAGATAATGAAAAACAAATTCTATAGAGTGAATGGGGGAGAAATATGAATAATTTAGCATTTAAAAAATAAGTTTACCTAGGATTCTTATCTAATGGCCCATACACTTTGATATGTATTTGTCTTTTGGTTTCAAAACTTAATTATGGCAAAAGCACCACAGAGAAACTTCCCACTACCCTAAACTGAGTAGAGCCCTAGATGAGTGAATGGCAGTCATTGTTGTGCATGTGTGATAATAAATAAATAAAAAATAAACAAGATAATGACAGATAGTACAAATTAAAGGCTAATTTTTTTTACTGTATATGTGAGAGGTTTGTCATAGTCAATCAGCTTTAAAGCATCTATTAATGTTTTGTTCCAACAGCCAGCATCTCATACCTTGTGGGAAAAAGAAAGTGAAAGAATATATAAAGGGCTTTCAATTTCCACACTATGAGTTTAATCATTGTAAAAGAATATTTACATAATCAACTCTACTTAGGAGATGATAAGCTTGAATTCATTAATAATTTGATAAAAATATTATCTTAATATACTTTAATAGGTTAAATTATAATGATTGTGTAAAAAATCTTTACATTATCAGCGTGTATATATATATAACGTCTTTTTCAACATATATCGTCATTTTGACTTGCATGTGCATGTATCTACCTTCATTTTCAAGCTCAAGGAGAAATAGTACCAGTTGCTGTTATAATTTTGATGAAGAAGAAAAAAAAGATAACATAATTCTTGTTTTCTTCCCTTTTCTTTTGATTTGGTGCAAAAAGCATGGAGGAAGAAGGCAACAAAAGAACTGAGTTACTCCCTCCGGTCCATAATTAATAAGTGACTTTTTTGTTACACAAGAACAATGTGTAATAAATTTTAAATAATTTTTAAAAATTGTGACCTCATTGATATAAAGTACACACAAAATACATGTCTAAAGACTAAAGAGGAAGTATTATAAATAGAAACATGATAATTTATGAAGTTGAATAACAAAATTATATAAGTAGAGTATATTTTTGAGATGGTGAGTACTTCTATATGGGGCATATTTTTATTTTTTATCAACCTTCATTATTTTTGTAAAAAATTATACGTTTCCTTTAAATTTCTTTTAATTTTAATATAATATATACTATACAGTTTTCTAAAACTTTATGCTCATACGGTATACGCGCAGCGCGCGATATCTTAAGGCTAGTTTCGTAAATAATTGAAAGACACTTTTAAGTATTTAAAAGTATTTGGATAAAGTGTTAAACTAATAATAATTCAACATAAAGTGGGAACGAGGCTGAAATATAGTACGTAAATGAAATTAACATCTTATTTATTTATACATAGAGAACCTTGTATACACGAAATCGTGGAAACCAAACCAGATGAGAATTAAGCTAGGCTAGGTAAGTACTAATTTGAATATAAGAAAGAGAGACTAAACTGAAAACAAAATAATTAGATTAAAATGAGTTTAATCATGCTTAATTCAAAATTCAACTCTGCGTATAAAAACAGACTCCAAGTCTCGTGGGGGTTGAAAGAATTCCCTAGTATAGTTACACCTTGAAGAAGTTTTTCTCTTCTTAGGAGCAGGTGGACATATTAACTTTTTTGATGATAACCTTGATTCTTCGTACGTTGGAGTAGTCGAAAACTCTTCTTCTTCTTCTTCTTCTTCTTCAACATGTTTGTTCTTATTCTTGGTTGTGAATATGGGCTTCAATGGACTCCTTAATGTAATTCCTGCAATGATCCATCCTTTGCTTTCTGACTCTTTTATATTTCCATCCATTGGATGATGACTAGTTGGCTTTTTCGAAAATCCCATTAATTAATTAATATTTGATATAAGAATCAAAATTTTGGGTTCCTATATATAGAAGATGAAAAGCTAAAAAGAAGAAGATAAAAAGATTTCTTGTGTTCCCTTGTATTGGGAAGAGAATATATTCTCAAAAATCTTGAAGAGAAAGAAAGAAGAAAGGGTTTTAGGGATATGAAAAGGGTCTTTGAGATTGATTTTTCAAGCTATGGAACCTTTATTTAAAGAAGAAGAAGAAGAAGAAAGAGAATAATAAATGAGGATGTGAGTTGAAGATTAAACAAGTTGTTGTTTTAATGTTCCCTTTTTTTACTATAAATTTTGCATTGCCTAAAGAAACAAAAATTATAGTATAGGGGGGAAGAAAAAAGAACTCGGGGAAACCGTGACCTAAACAAAAGCTAGAACAAAAAAAGGTTTAATTAAAGGCATGGAGAGCAAAAAGAGTGAATGTGCCCGTGAGAATTTCCTGACCACGGGCAGTGTCACAGTGGTAAAAGAATAAAGTTCTTTTTTTTTTTTTTTTTAAAGATTTGATAGTCTTGGCTTTATTTATATTCCTTAGCGCGAGTTTACTTTCTTTTCAGCCGTCAAATTATGAAACTTTTGTAAACGGAGTTATTCAATATTTGTGTAAATAAGAAATAATAGGTACTCAATATAATAGTTAAGTTATGCGGGTATGAATTATTCGAAAGCCATTGCAATAGAATTATATAAATAAAATAAATAGAAAATAGAGTTTTCTACAACCAACATATTGTTTCACCGTTTGCTTATAATCCCAGTTTAACTTTAGTATTTCCTCTTGAATGCAAAGCTTTGGACCTCTATGTTTATGTAGAATGAATTTTACTGTATAGATGAGCTCTAGACATAGTTCAGTTACTTTTTGTTTTATATGATATCAATAGAATTAAATACTTGTAGTTTAGCCCTCTAGACATAAAAAGTACTCAATGCCCCTCTCTTAAATAAAATTACTTACTTTTTTTATTTGTATTGTAAGTTTAGAGTTTATAGAGCTTTATTTGTCCATAATAGAAGTGTCTCTTACTAGTAAAATCGTTTGACGTTAAGAAAACACTGCGACATACAAATATTGACACGGCTAATACTACTCATATTATGTACATACCTAGCTTAAAACAAACCATGAAGGTTATTTCTGAAAAACATAACTTCCAAAAGTATCAAGAAAGTCTCTTTATCTTTTTTTTTTTTTTTATAAAATAAAAACCACTAAATCATAATATAACATAGTCTAACCGTAGCCATACAACTTTTGACTGCAAATACATAAATTTCACCTAAATTTAGATGTATTTCAGTTTCCTTACATATAGAAGGGTAGCTTTGGGTCCTACACACGAATGTGAAGTGTTAAATTCAGAATTTTCCAGACTTCGGCAAATTAATACTGTATTCATTTAGATTAATTTCCCACAAAAACCTTTTACTTGAAATTCTTTAGGTTAATGTTAGTTTGGATTTAAGAAGAAAATTTATTTTACGATCTATTTTTACATATAGGTATCTAGAATTTGAATCCATCTCATTTCCATTATGCTGAAAAATATATATAGTTAACAAAAGGACAGTCTACGAAAGTATACGCAGTACTAATTGGTTACCATCAATATTTAAAGTCAACGAGGTTTTAATATGGTCTTAATTACTATCTTAATTCAATTAAATGCAGAATGGACGTGAAAAATTTATGAGGCAAATCTATACACCACAAAGTAAATCTAATAAGTCTTATATAACATAAATGAAGGCTAAATAGAGGGGGGGAAGGAAAAGGTTACGGTCAAGTAGTGTACAATAATTTTTTTGTTTATGAGAATTGCAGTAATTGTAAAACAATATACAGTACAATAAATACGCCTTTTACATCCTGGAATAGCCTTTGTGGTCTTCATATTGCTCCATGAACTCATCGTTGAACTTTTTGAAACTTGACATTATTGCAGGCATGTCTTCTTCAGCTGGCAATATGGTTGTCCTTAGGTGGAACACCCTACATACACAAGCTTTTCTTTGAGCCCAAAACTTATAACAGAGTTTAACTTCTACACACTGACGGACAGTGTAAAAGAATTTTAACACTATCAGTTCATCTACAAAATAACTACAAGTAACTAACCGTCCATAATAAGTGGGGTCCGTAACTTGAAAAATATAATGTAGGTTTTAGCTGCTGCAACGGCTTAAACATACGGAGGGGCAATTGAGGTTTAACAGCTACTTAAACAAAGGAAACCCGAGAGAAGGGGGGGAAAGGGAGTTTCTGAGAACGCTGAGGTATGTAATGAATATAAGGGCATTTTGGTATTGAATATGAAAGGATAATAAACTCACCCTTCCTTTTGACCAAATCCTGAACCAGGGACAGTGGAGATGCCAGTTGCTTCCAACAGCCTGAGACAATAGAACACGTCGGGAACTTTCCCAAGCTTCTTTGCAGCCTCTATTGCTCTAGGAGGCAGTCGTATTTGTGGGAAAGAATACATTGCACCTGAAAAGATTTCCTCAGAAAGTTAGTGGGAGCTCATTTGGCATTTGATAGAACACAAGAACTAGATCCAGTGAGCTGTTGACTTGCCTTCAGTGAAATTACAAACAACATTTCTGCAGCTGTTGAAACCATCAGTCATCATGTGTGCCCTCTTCCTTAATGACTCAAGGATACCCTTACTGCAATTAGAAAGAACTAATATTCGTCATTCAAAAGCGAAGAAGTGTGTCTATATGTGCGGAATGATGAAAAGAAATTACAGTAGAAAGATAATGATATAAATCCATGTTTTTCCAAAAAACAGAAGAAGAAAAAGCGGTGAATTGGGCTGCATGTGACTTTAATCCCCACCTACTTTAATTCACTGTATGTGACTCCAGACGATTAGGAGTAAACATGAAGTTGCAATGTGATCAATGACCCCAATGTAATTGTAATGCTGGGAGTTATGTTGGGGAGAAGTGCATTCTTTTGACAAAGTTTGAATGACCATAGCAATTCTAATGGTTCTGCTTATTTAAATGGTCTCATACTAATGCATTATTATAGTCATAGATGTATTTATAACTTTAAACTTCTTTAGAACTCACTAGTTCAAAGATAAGAGCAACTCAGGGGGCAATTAGTTTAAAAGTCCATATCCAAAATCCATCGGTAAGGATGAAGTTTCTTTTTTTTTTTTTTTGGTCAATATCTAAATTCCTTAAAAGAAGTTCAAGAATTTCGTCAAGGACTGATGTCAGAAGTCATACCTCTCTCTGACATATTGGTCATATGAGATATCTCCAGGTTTAGGGGGGTTTACCATTAGCCCCATCTGTAAGATACAAAGGAACGGGACATTTCTCGTCAGATGTGAATTAAACAGGGCAAACTGGAGCTAACATGTTGGATTGGTATTGGAAATAAGATGTTGCTCAATTTAAAGCAAATTAAGATTATGCGGAGGAGACAAGTGAAAATTGACTTACAAATATCTGTCCAGGTACATTTGGACTGAGCGATATTGAAGCAACCTTGTATATTTCTTCGACAGACTGCAAACATCAAATGCGAAAAAAGGAAAGGCTCTGTCTTAGGTACATAGACTCCAAACCAAAAAAGCTGTGTTAGGTACATAAAGTCCAAATCCAAGAAAAACTTACATTGTCAGACTATAATATGACCATTAAGTTTAATAACGTATACCCTTGTGAATAGCTTTTTTTTTTTTATAAAGATAAAAATAAACTACACCATTGTGAATAGTATGAAATGATTTCCAGTTAAAAGATCCAATCTAATCTCTTCAAAACTATCACCACAAGAGTTTTGCTTATGTAAACCACGACACAAAACTAGGCACCGAGGGATAAGCACTTTACTAAAAGCAAGAATTATCTATCGTATTCCTATCCCTACAGTTTGAATTGGAAGCAAAAGACAAACCTTTGGAGGAATGTTGGTCATCTCAAAGTATCCTCCACGCTGTCCACATTCACCCCAATATCCTTTGGAGACAGTGTGAAATGAAACAAGCTGAAGCTCCTTGCTTATTGGTGGGCCCATATCCAACAAAACCTTCATATTTGGTGAATAACATTTGAAATGAGCATTGTAGGATCTGAAGATACTGGTAGGTTAATAAATTCATTAAGCAGAAATTTAACACATGTACCTTTCTTGCACTTATGAAAGGGCGCTCATCTTGGTAAATGTTTTGCTGATAAACTTCATCTCCAAGTAATACTAAACTCTCTTGGTGACAGAATTGAATTATTTGCTTAAGATTTGCCACACTAAGACATTGTCCAGTGGGATTTCCAGGGTTTATAATCACCATAGCCCGTACCTAGGCAGAAACAAAAAAAATGTATGGCTAATTAAAACGCAAACACAAGATGCTTTAAGATATCAAAAGCGAAAAGTAATTCAGCCTTTATTTGCAGCCATATCCAAATTTTTGTGCGGGTAAAAGGAACCAGTCCCCATAGAATAGATTTTAAGTTTCGCCTGTTTCTAAAGATATTTCTAGTATTCAGTCCTAGGTGTGCTTAACGTCCACTAAGCCCAAAAGTTGCTAATAAAAGTGAATTTCGGTGAACCTTACGTGTGCTTAAAGTCAACCAAGCCTAAAAGTTGCAAATAAAAGTGAATTTCAGTGAACTATACTCAGAATTTACACACACATCATGTTTATCTGCATATATATGAAAGCAGAAGTACAGCATACTCACAGTTATTCCCTTGTATCGTGCCTGTGCAACTGATTGGCGAAGGTCATTAATATCAAGACCCCAGTTTGCAGTCTCTTCAAGGTAGTATGGCACAAGAGAACCCCCTAATAATTGTATTGAAGCAGAGTATAGCGGATACTGGGGAACAGGGACCAATATCTAGCAACAAATGTGCACTCATTAAAAATATGATAATGCATGTAAAACATAGGACCAGGAGGTGCTAAAAAAAGGAACTGCTTAAGTTAAAACCAGATGTATGAAGGGAG